GGAGGCCCCCCCCAAACCCCCCAGCTGTGCCCTGGACGGGACCCCCGTGCCGGCAGGGACCAACCGTGCCCCTGCCACCCCCTGCACCCCCCTTTCCCACAACCCCCGTACCCCAGGAGCCGGGTTTTGGCAGCAAGCCGCCTGCTGGCATCCCTTTTTTCCCCAAATCTCCTATTATATGGGTTTTTTTCTACCCCGTCTTGCAGCGGGAGCTGAGGGAGCAGCTCCAGGGGCTGCAGGAGAGCGAGCGCGGCCACACCGAAGCCCTTCACCTCCTCAAGCGGCAGCTGGCCGAGACCAAGGTACGAGTGGGGACACGGCTGATTTGGGGACCTCCAAAGACCTAAAACCCCACAATTTCATGGATCTGCCCCATTTTTTCCTTCTCCGCTACCCCAAAACCTGCTGGCAGGTTGACGAAGCCACCCGTCAGGCTGCTCATCCCTCTTTTATTTCCTTCAGAGCTGCTTTTATTTATCTTTTTAATTAATTTTTATTTTATATTTATCGCCTTCTCCTTGCTCAGGGGTTCAGCTTTCAGCGAGGTTCAATTTTCTCCCCATCCCCACCAGCGACGGGGTTGTTTTAGGTTTTCTATAGGGGTGCGGGGTCAAATATCCGTCCTTGGATGCTTGGAGCATCTGGAATTGTTTGAGTTAACGGGACTGTAGGGGTTTATTTGGGGAATTATGGATTCATGGAGGGGTCGGGGCAGGCTTGGGGCATCCTGACACCCACCTGCACCCCAAAAGTCCTCAGCCAAGAGCCTGCGTGTGACTATCGGGGAGGCTTTCGAGCGGCTGCACCGGCTGCTGCGGGAGCGGCAGAAGGCGATGCTGGAGGAGCTGGAGGCGGACACGGCGCGGACGCTGACCGACATCGAGCAGAAAATCCAACGCTACAGCCAGCAGCTCCGCAAGGTGCAGGAGGGCAGCCAGATCCTCCAGGAGCGCTTGGCCGAAGCTGACAAACACGTCTTTCTAGCCGGCGTCGCTTCCCTTTCCGAGAGGTGGGTGACACCGGGGTGACACCGGGATCCCCCGTGTCGTCCCCCCCTTCATCGCCTCTCCTTCGCAGGCTGAAGGGGAAGATCCACGAGACCAACCTGACCTACGAGGACTTTCCCACCTCCAAATACATGGGGCCGCTGCAGTACACCATCTGGAAATCCCTTTTCCAGGATATCCATCCCGGTGAGAGGCGCGGGGATGGGCTGGCTGCGGGATCGGGGGGGTTCCTGGCGAGGGATGGGGACGGGGACATCGCCAGTGAGGGATGGGGACGTGCTGCCAAGAGATGGGGACGCGCTGGCAAGGGATGGGGACAGGGACGGGGACATCACCGGCGAGGGATGGGAGCGTGCTGCCAAGAGATGGGGATACGCTGGCAAGGGATGGGGACAGGGACATCACTGGCGAGGGATGGGGACACGCTGGTGAGAGATGGGGACAGGGACGTCACTGGCGAGGGATGGGGATATCACCAGTGAGGGACGGGGACGTCACTGGCGAGGGATGGGGACGGGGACATCGCCGGCGAGGGATGGGGACGTGCTGCCTAGAGATGGGGACGCGCTGGCAAGGGATGGGGACAGGGACGGGGACATCACCGTCGAGGGATGGAGATGGGGACATCACTGGTGAGGGATGGGGACACACTGATGAGAGATGGGGGCATCACCGGTGAGGGATGGGGACGTGCTGCCAAGAGATGGGGATGCGCTGGCAAGGGATGGGGACAGGGACGGGGACATCACTGGTGAGGGACGGGGACATGCTGGTGAGAGATGGGGACGGGGACCTCACTGGTGAAGGATGGGGATGCACCGGTGAGGGGTGAGGAGGCGCCGGTGACCTCCGCACCGCGACGGTTTGCAAACGGTTGGGGCAGAGCCACCTGCGCTGGGTCTGGGGGCTGCATTGACGCTTGTCCCTGTGTCGTCCCCCCCCCCCCCCACGCGCCCGCGCCCGCG